CGTGTTTAGGAACGAGGTTTCCATTGGAGGTGGGGGGAAGTCCCTAAAGCTTCACAAATCATGGGGTGGAGCGTGGCTGGAGGAACGGAGAAGAGCGTGGTCACTGGTACCAGTCCGGCCTTGGCCACGCAGAAGGCAGGATGCGACCTCTGGTCTGGGGATTTGTGGTCACCCCTTGGCTGTTTATTTTCCATAGGTGTTATGTTACCGTGGGGAGAAGTGTCAAGGGTCCTTCCCAAATGGATTTGGGTCTAAGTTGCTCCCCTTCCATCGCTGGAGCTCCAAACTATTCAAACGGGATTATCTATTCCAGAGCAGAGCCCGTCCCAAACAGCTTCCAGCCTTGCAAGGCTCCAAAAAACTTGAGTTTACCGCAAAAACTTTGCAAACTATTCTTCCAAAGACTGAAAACTTGCTCGTGCGTTAGGAAAAACAATCACCTACCGATACCTGGTGCTTCTGGGTGGCCCAGAAGCAAACCTTTCTCCAATTTTTAGGTTTCCCGGTGCCCAGAATTCACTGGCAGAAGCCATTATAGATAGTGCCGCTGTTTTAAAAACTTAGGGCTTGGATATTTTGTAGTTAAGAAGGGTGGAAAGTAATTTGGTGAAAAAAGAGTGTGGCCGCTCTTCGGCAACAACCGCTCATCGGAGAAGAGGTTAATGCAGTTCTTAACACGGCAGATCTAATATCAAATGTCCCCGATGTGAAGTTTTAGCGAAGAAAAGAAAAATAAAATGGGTCACTTCTTGAAATATGAGCTTGCTTATCGGTTCAGGCAACGTCATTCAAGGTTTTGTGGTTTTTTTTTTCCAGCGTGTGATGTCGGCCCGGGGCTGGGAACATCTCCTGCTCCTTGCCGTGCCCATCTCTAGTTGCCTTGAAATGCCCAAATGGGTGTTCGGTGGGAGAAATCGGGTCAGGAATTGTCCTTCTAGGTAAAAGTAGTTGAATTAGAGCTTGATTTTGGTCTGCTTCAGTGTTGTATATAAACCCCGATAAGGTTGAGGACTTATGTGGAGGGTGAGCATGACCTGCGCAAGAGCAAGAACCTCAAACACCCCCTTAAGCTGCGCTCCTGGACTTAAACTCGCTCCTGGACTTAAACTTGTATTCCCTTATGAGTCGTGTCTTTGGAGGAGAATGCCAAGAAAACGGGTAAATTTGGAAAGCTTAAAAATCCCCGACCCAGCAACCTGTTGTGTAACCAAAGCATGCCCAGCGGATCACGTGGAGATGGCGATCGGTGAACGGCTTTTTATATTTAAATCCAAGCCTGAAGTCTCTTAGTTACGCTCCCAAGCTCACGGAAACAATTCGCCATGAGTCGAAACCCTCCTTGTTTTTGCTTCCAGCCCGAAACGACGCTTTCCGGGCGCTCTTGGTTTCGTGCTGAAAGTTATCTGTCACAAACGATTTAAGAACGAAGCGGCGCCCGTTGCTTTGCAATATTTATTTAACTCTTGCTCTGGGTACGGCTGCGGAGAAGCAGCTGAGCAAACAGTGAAGTGGGTTTTGAGATGAGGAAGGATGCGAATATGTAGCCGGGAGGATTTTAGCCTGGTTTTGGTGTGGTTTTTTGGGTTTTTTTTTAAGCCCACTTGTCCCCGTATCTCTTCAAATCCCTCGGGAGATGTGCGAGAGGTCTTTGTGGCCGTGCTAAAGCCTTGCCCGCTGCTCCCAGGCTGGAGCGAGGAGCTGCCTTAAGGGCACCTGCTTAGGATTAACGTCCTCTGCTCGTGTTTTATGCTAATTCCCTAATTTACAGAGGGTTTTAAGCAACATTAAAGGCCGTTGGTAAGTTATAACGGCAGGAGGATTTCATGAAAAGTCAGCGATAGCACCACACCGAACCCGGTGGCTCCGTGTCACGGTGCTGGTAACCCCCGTGCCGTGGGAGCAGCGATGCTGCTCGTGGCTCCGACCGATGTCGTAGCTCAACATCTGCAGGCAAACCGCTTCCTGCTTCCTTCCTCTCCACTTCCAGACACGTGAACTGCCAGAAAGTCTCCGCCGGCGTTGCAAGATGCCTCTCGAGCTGTTAAGAGCTAAGAATATCGGTAGACCCTTAACCGAAACCCTCCGTCGTGGCAGGGGGGAAGGCAGCTGAGAGCTCAGGCAGGGAGAAATCCCCTTTTTTGGGGAGCAGTTTTGTGAACCGTTTTCCGCGCTGGTTTGCGGTTCGTGGTTTCTAACCGGGCTGCAACGGGAAATGAAGACGGGAGGATTCGGCTCCGGGTGGCGGGAGATTGATTCGATGAACACGGTCGTTTCTTTTCCTTTCTTGGGCTTGTAATCAAATCGTTGCAAGACCTGAGCGTCTCTGTCTTCGCGGGGTGGAGTTTCCTTTCCCAGAGCTGCTCGGAGGTGGGATGCGGAGAAGAAACGAAGAGCGGAGTTAGGAAAAGGGCTGTGGATTTAACACACGCTCGCTCTGCTCATCGTCGAAGTGAGAGCGCCGCGTTGGCTTTTGCCGGTCTCGTACCTTTGGCTGCTTGTTTAAAAACCAGAAAAACCCTCTTTAAGCAAAACTGAGTGTCAAAGGGAGGAAGTAGGGGTGTTTGGGTCTGCGGCGAGAACTTGAACTTGGCTGTGCTGGTTGTTTAAATGGGAACGTTTGTGGCAAAAGCAGGATGTTTTGAGATACTAAGGGGGATCTCAGAGGTTACCTGTTCCCTCCCGCCGCTTACAAGCAAGTTCACGGTACCTGAACCAACCTGAACTTGGCTGCTCCGGGATCTGACCGAGATTCCACCACCGCCCTCGGCACCCACGCTGCCGTCACCAACCCTCACCCTTAGAAAGGTGATGGGGTCTTTGGTATTTTTAACGTCTAAATCCATTCCTGTTGTATTTTAAGCAAAGACAACAGTTTATGCTCTTCTGTAGACCCAGATCTTTCAATCTCCCTTTTTTTGGCCACGATTTTAGACCCTCGATTGTTTGCTGTTCCCTCCCCGATATATCTGAACCCTCCCTAAAGTGCCGCGGCTCAACGCCGGACACGTCCCGGCCGCAGCGCAGCGGAGAGCAGGAGGGTTATCTCAGCTCTTGACCATCCTATGACGTAGCGGGGGTTGCAACATTCGCTCTGGTTTAGTTTTAAACAGCTTAAAAGCCTGAAAACCTTTCTTTGATTTTAATTTTTTTTTTTCCTCCCCACTCTTTTCTGCAAGACCACTGGCTCCGGTGCTGTCCCCGATGGAGTCGGTGGCTTCTCCGGTGAGGTCCCTCTGCTCGGCGGTGGCTTTCCCCGCATGTTGTGACGGGCGAAGGTGTGCCTTGCTGCTGCAGTCGCCTCCTTAAAGCCCAGCTTGGCTCGTTAGCGAGGCTGTTTGTGTATCTCCTGGCTCCGAACCCTCTTGGCAGCCACCTCGGAGAACACGTGGTGCTTCTTGGCAGGCGTTGGGAA